TGGGCTGACTTGAGCGATAACTGTCACTGTTACATTGTCATTCGGCAAGTTGGCAAAGCATCATACATTGGATTCCGAACGTCGACTGTTATTTGTTGATTCCGAAATGAAGCCCAGTTCCGGCTAACGATTTCCTCCGGCTGCGACAGAGTTTCCACCGGTTGCTACTATGGTTTTCTGGGGTTCTGACCCCCAGAAATCCGTCATCCACTTGGTGTCCAAGAAGTCATTCTGCTCCACGACTTTTCCATCGGCGTTGAAACGAAACCCGTGCACGTGCGAAGTAGCGACCGGCTTCCCTTCTACCGAGACGACGCCGGGCTGTGTGTACGGGACCCGTTGGCGTTCAGAGGGGATAGTATAACAACAAAAACGAGACGTACCCCGAACTTGGTGTAGAGAATCACGTTATTTTCGCTTTCCACCAAGTCTGTGACGATAAGCTGAAAGGAAAGGAAATGGTCTTTGGGGGCTCCTGTCGCGACTGATCAAACGGCGTACCTGCATTCCCTTAATCGCGGCCCACCAAGCAGTCCGGAATGCTTCGATGAACGCCGCCTTATTCAACTGATTCCATCCTGGCGTGCTGAGTGATTCTGGAAGTGCGTTCCAGACAAAGCTGTCCGCAACGCACTCATCCATGGCGGTCTTCAGGGTTTCATCAGAATATGAAATCCAAGCGTCGCAGAGGCGCAGAGCAGTTTTCACGTTGGGGGATGGCGCCTTGCGGGCTGCAGTGAGGTGTTCAGCGAGTTGAGTGGTGGCCATGTCTCGATAGGGAGCACTACCAGAGCTCGAGACTCTGGCCGTTATATGCCTTAAAATTCAAAATTTCTTCCTTTCGAGGTCCCATGATGCACGGTACGATAAGGCCTGCGTAAGCCAGTATCCCAGAGACTGAACGTTTTGGCAATGGCATGCCAACAACTCCAATACGTCACATGTGAGGGTAATGTACTAGCATGTATGCAGCGAGTGGGTGAGGGATCGACCCACTGGTTATCTCAAGCAGTTACCTCAGCTCATTTGCTCATCGTTCTCTCACCATTCAATGTGTATCGTTTTATGGTAGCGTCACACCGTACCCTTGTCACGATATTATGGATTCAACGGGGTCCCTTCGTTCCCCACCGCTTCTCCGGGATTAACAAAACAGGCCCACATATCATCTTCATTGAGCAGATGTTACCACAGTGGTGGCGCTGGTATATGTTATTAGTTTGTGCATGCTAGCTCGGGAGGCCAGGGAGAGGTTGATCTGCCCGACTTCTGGTCGATCATTGTCGCCGATAAGGGCAACCTCATTTGGAACTTGACGCAATCCTTGCGGAAGCTGCCTTCTCCGTACTAGAGGACGATTCAGTTTCTAAATGAAGATCAACTGACTATTTCTGTCAGCCTCTGGTACTTGGGGGTTGCTTCGAATATATACATATACTTTGCTCTCGGGAAATATCGCTTGGATGATGTGACTGTCCCCCCCACACATATACTCAACCTGGCTAAGGGGCTGCCTTATCTTTTACTACGTCAGCTAAACTCCATTGTGGTGCGGGACACCTCGAAAGGGTGTACGGTTATGCATACGTTTTAATTGTCTTTGGCTAAGCTGCCAGATAACGAAATTGTGCTGTTTTGGACGACGTGCTGGGCTGTCCGAGCTCACAGAGGCTCACTCCAGCAGCTAACCCTGACGAACAACCTTGCCAGAAGACAGGTATCACTGTCAGTTATCGTAGAAGCCAAGAGTTGGTTGTCGGCCTTTCATTTCCTGATTTCTGCTGTCTCCCGGTCGGTATTCCTCATCAACGGAGCAATAACCTGTCATAGATTGCAACTACTGGGCACTTTGTCTGTCATTACTATCCTCTCAGCGTGAGGCTGCACTCGTGCAGGCTGCATGCCGCGATGCAGCGCGAGCACTCTACTAGTTATATTGACGCATGTCACAATAGGGCCTAAGGCATACCACCTTAAATTTGGGGATGAAGTCCCTCATGTTCCTCTGGGTCAATATATATCAAATTGGGAACTTGGGAGAGGCACGGAGGAATAGCACCTGGCTCCTTGGTCAAGTCAGGTTCAACGATCAACCCCCATCAGCAAGCCGAGTTCTAATGTCACACCCGGTGACTCCTCCAGTGTTCAAGTAAACTTCCGTAATCCTACGGAGGGTCGATTCCCAAGTGCTCTCTGGGCCAAGCTACGGCTGTCATTATTTAATACAGTCACTTGTCGCGATCGGACTTTAAAAGAATATTGACCATTCTGTCCATTCATTCAGTACTTCCATATTTGGGCGCTTATTAATGCTGGGGCAAGGGATACGGGCTCTGGATAGACTGCAATAATAGAGCGCTCGTATAGGTCCGAAAGATCCGATCGCATGTCATAATTGCCCAATGGAGTTGGAAGTGCAACCCGATTCTGTTGGTGCGCGCGTCATAGGAGGGTAGAGGAACTCATTGTCGTTGTGATGATGGGTTACGAGTATGTGGTTCTGGTTCTGACAAGATCGGAGAGGGCGCGAGCCCTTTACTCAAATGTTGCCATACTACTACGTCCACCGGTGGCTCAAGTGGTTGTGGGGATTCACCCACTCATGAAAAGCTGCCAGCCATGCACAATTAACACTCAAGCCAACATCCGTCCGTACTTGCGGATTCACACAGGTCAAAGGAGTGACTCGATTCTGTCGTCGGGCAAAGAAAGCCGCACCCACTCGTTCATCTAAACATGTAAAGTACAGCTATGTACGTCCGTGGGTTGGGTTGGACTATATGTGTGCAAAATGCATGAGTAGATCGATCGAAGGTGGTTGCATGATTCCCTCGTGGACACTTGCGTGAAGCACTTAAGCCGCAGGCGGGAGAAGGTTGTACGTCACACCGGGCCCTTTCCATGGCTGAAGCCAACCTTGGAGAAAGCCGCGGAGGATTCAAATGATGGGGAATGTGGAGCGGGCCGGAGGGCATGTGGCGCTCGCTTACTTTTACTTACCAAGCTCCGGCGTGGAGGGGGGGGGGGGCAGTTATATATACCCGATTCAAATTTGAAAATGCTCTTGCAGACGGGTACATAACGGGAAACATTTTGGATTTCTTGGGAGCATGAGCACGCAGCTTCTTTTTTTCATTTGATTTGCCCGGGCTGCCAATCACTTCTTCTATTTGACTCGGGAGAATAACCTCGAGAGGTGCATGGGAAGGTTATCCTGGACAGCTATGGTAAAGTTAATTTGAATGATGGTCGCACCGCGTGGTTGTGTTGGGTAATCATTGGATATAGGTCGGTTTTCGAGATGAGGCAAGGTAGATGACAGTAATTCCCTGGGACGGGATCGATCGTAAGCGGTATTGTATGCCGGAAAAGCTAAATATTTCAGCTACAATTACCACTGCTGTGTATGTGTGTATGGTGTACCGGCGGATAGATGTGGCGTCATCGTCATCGACACCAAATGAGGTTTCCTACACCTATATATGATCAAATTCATGAAATACACACCCACCAAATTCGATCGACATGTAACACGGAGTTTTGCGCTAATATGACAAGTGCTCAATTGCTCATGGATGACTGGCCTTGGTTGACAGTATATATGGATCAATAGCGCACTAGTCTTGATCCGACGACGTATCAATTTATCGTTGGAGCTCATGCTAGCAATCGACTCATTCGCTTTTGCTTTAACTGGGTAGTATCGTGACCTGACAAGCTGGGCGTAATTAGCCGCAGCGAGGAGGAACTAATGGCCGATGATATGTCACGGACGATTTGGATAGCGAGAAGTGATTGGGATTCGGGGTGTGTGTATGTTTGTACTGTTCACGTCGAGCGATGTCCAATACGTAACGTACGTGAAACAAAAGGCAGGCATTGTTGTTTGGCTGAGGTATGTAGTTTCTTGAGTGAGGTTTCTCTTTCTACCCCCCTTGACCGATAAGAAACTTTCTTAGCTCCCCCAGCCTAGCCTAGCCTTTCACCGTATACAATGATCGATTTCCGTTCTCAAGTGTGTACGTACGTACGTACGAATGAATCGATCGAATACCCCGTTTGCCGTTTGTTGTTATGAAGGTAAGAAACCAGAATTGTAATTAATTATTTCACATCCGGCGGTTCGTTTTGTCAGCCGCCGCGCCTCGCTTGGATACACGAGCGATCAGCTGCAAGGGTTACATGCTGTTGCGCGGAAAAGCCTGATGCAACCCAGCAATGGTACGAGAAGCGACTTGCTCCATTTTATTTTATTTTTCACTTATTGCGAGAACGAGGGGTGGTCCACATGGGCATGCGGCGTCGAAACTAGTGTGAACCAGTACTCAGGATCCGCGAGACACTTTACATCATGTTCAGAATTATGCCCCAATTCCGGCGCTTCTTCGGTCACAGGATTTAGGTGTGGTACTGATCGGCTATATATCGACTAGCTCCGGTTTCTCGTTTCTTGTACGGATAAAGTCAGTATTGGGGGGTGTCGAACCAACTGTTGTGATTCGGTCATCGTACTATTGTGGGTCCCCCCCCTTTTTATTTTTTATTTTATTGGTTCAATTTTACGTACGAATGAGAAGCGGAAAGTAGTATACTAGTATACAAAGAACCGAGTATAGAAGGAAAGAAGAAAGGAAGGTGGCGTTCTGGTTTCGGTGGTCATGAGTTTTTCTTTGAAAATGCAGACATGTGCTTCAGGGAATTTGGTTGTAAGTGACCCTTTTGTTTCTTCGAAAGTGCGAGGCCAGACCTGAAGACGAGTAATTAACATTTGTTTTGTCACAACGAGGCGATTGCCTCAATAGAGCAAAATATATACATATACATAATCTATATTTATCTTATCATCTCGAGTGGAGTTCATGAAATGTATCGGGTTAATTAAATGATCTTGGTTATTACGTCTTCTGAATGAATTAAGTTGAATGGTTCGATCGAATCGAAAGGAAGGCTTGGCAGGGCGCTTATGTACAAATGGCCGGAGGGCTAATTTGTGAATGCGGGGTTAATCAGGTGATGAATGAGAACGGGAGAGAGGAGAGTTGGAAGATCGATTTTTTGTTTGATAAGTAAGCCTCGTTGAGTCCTCACCAACGAAGCAGCGCGTTGATGTTCCCGCCCTCCCTTTATCTTTTTCATGTTAGCCGATGACACCATTTGCTGAGTCAACATGGTTTTCTGATACGTTCCCAGGCTGTATTCTGGTATACTTATGTGTTGAAGGGGAAGGTTGGTATATACCGTCGTCAAGGGTTGGACAAATTGGACAAGGTTTTGTGGGTGTGTGATTCAGGTACGAGAGTGGAGTTTTTGTGGAACCAGAGTTGGGCAAGTTTCTTCTCTTGGATTGCCCCTGGAGGGTTGAATCGGGGGGTTTGAGACTCGGTTTACGTCGAAGCTGAGGTGGAGGTAAGAGAGACTGGGTCGTGGACACGGCACGGGCCGTGCCGACGTTGTGTTTGGTGAGGATGTTCACTTTCAAGCAACAACGTTGTGTATGTATTCTATTCTTCAAGTAACCACGTTTACAATGATTCATTTCCGGGTCTAGTTCACATAGATTTCCCACGTCAGAGACGCTTGAAGTCAAGAACAATAAACTGAGAGTCCCTTTCAATTCAATCACTTGTCCATTCTCGGTAATGGCCATCCGTTGCTCATTTACCTACCCATGTGTACCCGTGTGTACAATGTCTCTCCGTCCCCTCCCCTTACGTATATATCCCCCCTCTCTCGTGCTCTTTCTCTCTTCCCCTCCAGCTTTGCGCTCTCATCGTCGCGTGCTTTGCTCTTTCTCCAACACGCGACCTTTGTCAACACTTGGCTTTGGTCTCTTGCACCATCCCCCATTTGGCTTGACGTCGTTCCAGTAAGGTATTTTCATTTCCTTTTCCTCTCCAAGACATGATGATTAATCAGCCTCGGCGTTTGTAAACAGCAAGTCAACCAAAAATTCTAAACCATGCTTTTCTTCCTCTCCGTTCTCCTTTCTACGCCTCTGCTCTCACAAGGCGCGAGACTCCCGTCTTCAGAGAACCTTCCTTCGGATAAACTCGTGGAGCAATACGAAGCCTATTCGAATGGGAGTCATATCGAGCGTAGAGCTCCGACCAATGGTTTCACGGTTGTTGGGAACAGGTCAGTCGGTTGCAACTACCAGTACTCTCTTTTCTTCTTTGGCACTCATGGTTTTGTTTACATAGTGGTGTATCGGCTCAGATGATGTTCCTGGGTAGGCCGAATAAGGTGAGTTTTCAAGTAACTTGCAACTCGTTCCTTTTTTTGTTTTTTTGTTTTTTGTTCTTTTGCTTTTCTTGCCGTTCTTCCCGGAGGGCACACATTTATCATATATCGAGAGGTTGTCGCGACGATAAAGGAAGGGGGGGGGGGATGTTTCAGGGTCGGATATCTTCCTCGACTCCGTTCCTTGTTCCTCGTTCCTTTTCGGTTTTTCCGGCTTGTTCTTTTTTTTTTTTTTTTCCGAATTGACGCCGGGGATTTGACGATGTGACTGATGGGCTTTTTTTTCTTTGTCTTTCTCTGTCTCCATCACCCGCTCCTCATTCACGTTCATGATGAATCACGGTGACCATGATGTATAGGTTTACATCATCGACAAAGTCGAAAGGAATGCTTTGCAAGTGAATGGTCATCCGGCCTTCGCGACCGAGTATACGCTTTCTAGCAATGGTATACGTGCCATGGACGTAAGGACGAATACATGGTGTGCTGGTGGTGGTAGTTTAGGGGATGGGAGGTGGATTGATATCGGTGGCAATCCAGGCGTCGACGGTTCGTTTGATGGTGATGGCGGGTTTGCGTGAGTTTTTTCTTCTTCCCGTTTTGAGGATGTTCTGATGTCTTTTGGATTAGCGTGAGGTTCCTTACGCCTTGCGATAACGGTGGATGTCAGTGGGATGATAATCCTGCTAATGCCCTGTCGACGAGGAGGTGGTATCCTGCAGTGTAAGATTCCCATGCTCGTCTAGTCCTTGCCTTTCCGCGCCGCCTAACTTGCATTTTTCTGTTCGACAACCGGTGGTCGTTCGGCCTCACAGTGAACCAATGAATGATGGAGGTGTGATCATTATCGGAGGGACCAAGTTTGGTGGTTACGTCAACGGTCAGTGTGTCTCCTCTCATCATCTTCACGATGCTCATTTTCTCATTGTATGACTCGAATTGGAATTGGACTCGTCTTGATCGGACGGTATCAATGGGTTCGTTACATCCCCCGGCCGCCGGCGTCCATTTACACCGCCTCCTTCGCGACATCGTCACGCAATATCCACCTTGCATGACTCGACAATACATGACGACAGACGCATCACGTAACAACCCTACCTACGAATTCTACCCATCTCGGGGTGGGCTCAAAACGCTCAACCTCTTGGTCAACACCCTCCCTGCCAATTTGTACCCCTTAACTTGGTTGTTGCCTTCTGGACGGCTCTTCATTCAGGCCGGTCGGGGTACAGCCATCTTGGATCCTAACAGTGGCACTGAGACCAGGATTGCGGACGTTCCTGCGTGAGTAAAGTTTGCTTTTCGTGATTTCATGGCCAGAGAGAAGGGAAGTCGCGTTACGTCACGCGTTTTCGCTCTCCCACCCTATGTTTCCATTTCTCAGCAACGGCTCTTCTCCTTCCATTTTCACCTCTTCGATTCACTAATGCTGATTGACTCCACCACCTGCGCATATACATCAGCGCTGTCCGGACTTACCCGGGAAGCGGAGCGAGCGTTCTTCTCCCTTTGACCCCCGCTAATGGTTACACCGCAACAATCCTGATGTGTGGAGGACAGAACATCAATAATTGGACGCCGTCGCCTTCGTTGGTGAATCGCCCCGCGAGCAACAATTGTGTGAGGATCACGCCGGATGGTGGAGGCAGCTGGAGTGGGGATGCACCCTTACCTGAGGGGAGGACGATGGGGAATTTCATTCTTTTGCCGGATGGTAAGATTTGGTTGGGCAATGGGGCTAGGACCGGTGAGTTTGGTGGTTTTCTTTTGGTTTCTCCCTCTGGAGGGTGTCGACTGTCGTTTAATTTAATTTTTTTTTCTTTTAGGAACGGCTGGATATGGAACGGGATCGTATTTAATTGGGAGCTCGTTTGCTAAGAATCCACTTCGGACGCCAGTGTAGGTTTTTTTTTTCTTCGTCGGCTTTGACAAGAAGCTGGTTTTCTCTCTTTTTGTCCGCTGGCAACTTGTTGATTGTCTTCCTCATCTTCTCTAGGATCTACAATCCCGCTACGAGGTCGTTCAGTCGTGCGGGACTTGGAACGAGTAGCGTCGCGAGGATGTATCATTCTTCAGCTATCCTTCTTCCCGATGGTTTGTTTTTGATTATCCCTCTCCTTCGCTCTAAATGAATCTCACCCCTCCCCCCCCCCTACCTCCTGACTCACCACCCAACAGGTTCTGTCTTTATAGCAGGTTCAAATCCTAATAATGATGTCCAAACCCGGCTTTTCCCCACTGAGTACCGAACGGAGAAATTCTTCCCGTGGTACTACAACCATGCAAGGCCTCAACCCATTGGGGCGATCCCGGGACGATTGTCCTATGGAGGCAATTTCTTCACGATTCGGTTGAGAGGGGCTAGTTTGCAAGGGTTGACTCCTGGTGTGGCTGCGACGAGAAGTAAAGCTGTTATTATCCGGACTGGGTTTTCGACCCATGGGGTGAACATGGGACAGAGATATTTGCAATTGTGCGTTTTCTTTCCCTCCCTCCCCCCCCCTTCCTAAGTCGTCTTTGCCTCGGACATTACTGATAATGATGGCGTGTGTTATGTGCAAACAGGAATAGCACTGCGGCCCCTAACTCGGATGGCTCGATCTCTTTGTTCGTCTCTCAAGTTCCACCGAACCCTGCGCTGTTTGCGTCCGGACCTGCATTTTTGTATGTGGTCGTCAATGGAGTGCCTAGTATTGGGAGGCAGGTGATGATTGGGAACGGAATTGGGTCTCAGCCGACACTCCCTGTGCAGAGGTTGCCGGGTCCTTGAGGCCTGTGTCAGGTCACTGTGGTTTGCTTGTCCTGCCCCTTTTTTTAAATATCTATTTGGGGGTAACTGCGACTGAAGGCGGTTACCTTTTATTCTGGACTGGATGCTGCATGAAACGTTGTTCATTGTCTCCTTTTCTCTTTCTTTACCTTGTTACTTGTGTAGCTGTGTCCTTTATCCGCGCTATTATCCCTATCTTTCATTGTTCTTTATCCCCCTTTCCCTTCCCATGAATTACCCCATTCTTTAACTGATGCAATTGCTTTCGCTCATGGGTGGTATATGGTCACATCTTATTTTTCTCGAACATTCCCCCTTTTCCCCTCTTCCAACCGTTGATGTTTCATCTGTGGTTTCCAGTTTGTTCCATGATCTTTTATGTCTAATGGTTTGCATGAATGCATAGGCATGACTTTTTCCTGTACATCATGTACAATGTGATGCCTTTTCTCTGTCTTTCAATGATCATCTGATGATTTCCTCTTGAGGCAATGAGCTTGTCAGCACATCAGGAAACTTGCAGTGTTATAAAAATGGGGCCTAATTGGCCCATTTCTATAGTGTCCGGGTGCAGGGAGTGGCCGTGACATTGAAATAGTGTTACAGTTAATGTAACAGAGGTTTAACAGTTGTCTTTACAATGACATTAACAAAGTGTGGATTTTGGTGATTGTTGATAGTTAAGTTCTTATTATATACATGTCACGTGATAATATACTGTACAGAGGCCATAAGAGGCTAAAAATGGGAATTTCCCATTTCCATAACATGCAGGGACCTCTTGGAGTGGAGATATCCTGCAGAGCTTGGGGAGCCCAGAAGGTTCTTAGACCCTCTCAAAGAACCAGGAGACATGCTCTCTTGAGCTCTGCTGCTCCTCTTCTTCTAACAGTGCAGTGCATGTGCCGGCTCTCTGGAGTCCAGGGTTCCCAGGAGCAGCTGCAAGGATTGTGAGATGATTCTATTAAAGGTTGCCAATAGTGGCTGATCTACTATTGATGGCTTTGGTGGCAACCCAAGCTTTTAGTGAGTGTCAGGAGTCGCTTGTCAATCCAAGTCAAGTACCACCTGAAAACCTAGTCATAGATAAAGCTGAGGTTCCTCCCCTTCTCTTCTCTTCCTTTCCCCTTCCTTTCTCTCTTTCTTCCATTTTGTCAGGGGATGACTCCTGGGTCTGTTGGAATTTGCACGTGGTCTTTTTAGGGAAACCTAAAAGTTGGACATACTGGGAATCGAACTCCAGTCTTCTGGATCGCGAACTCAGTGTGCACAGCCATTACACCATACGCCCCGTTAGGCTGAGGTGGTTATTTCAACAGGGTCCCCATGACCCTCCCCTATGGTCCACAGCCTACTGGTGTAACCAGCCCTATCCAGGGCACAACCTACTGTGGGTAAGGAGATGTATAGATAAAGGCAATGTAGAATACACTTGCCTACCGTGTGTTACAGGAATGGGTTCCGGGGAACCCAACCTGAGCCGTTCGGCTCACTAATGGAGGTGGCTGTGTAGCCATCGGAGGGAGAGCAGAATGGGATGAGTGTCTGGAAGTACAACCTGTGGGTTGGCCAACGGTAACTTGGCACTCCTGGGAGTGTACCAGTAGTGAGTATGATGTGGGCTCCTTGAGGGAGCCACCTGGCTGTCTGCTAACGGGGACTTGGCGCTCCTGGGAGTGTGCTGGTAGCGGGTGTGCTGGGAGTGGTTGGCTAGCAGTGACTTGGCACTCAATGGAGCGTACCGGTAGCATGGGATACTGGGACTCCCAAAGGGAGTCACCCAGTTGGTGGCTATCGGTGACTTGGCACTCATGGGAGCGTACCGGTAGCGGGAGTTGTTGGGGAAAGCAGGCTGGTGGACCAGTGCATGGTAGTGGGTGACTGTCAGAGTACAGCCCGGTTAAGTCCGGACTGCTTACACACAACTGATGACACACCTGCCCCATACCTGCACAGCCTGATCATCATCCCCGGACTGGCACAGACATTTGTTATATTTCCTTCTGCAGAGCGGCCCCGCTTCGCCGGGTATACTGACTTTATCATTCCCTGGGTAGCGAGTGAGGAAGATAACTTTCTTCTCTCACTTCCCCTCGCTGCTCAGCTGGAATCCCTATTGCAATCCGCTTTGCCGGGTTCCCCCATTGAGACTGATCCTGTCCCCCTCGGCCTCAGCTCCAGCAAAGGCTCGGGATCCCTCGACTTAGAGTCCGAGCAGCTCGGTACCCTGACAGTGACCGTGGGAAGTGGGACCCGCGGGTGCGTGGCCAGGCATCCCGGAGCTGCCTGGACCATATCCCTCTCCTAAGGAGGTGGGATAGGCTACAGTTCCTGATAGGGAACTTCTGGTTGGATGGGAGTGATCACTCAACCACCTGGTGGACTGGTGGGAGCAGGCAGCAGGAGGTTGGGCGTGGGAATGCCCTCCTCATTGTGGTTTTGTCATGGAGAGGATGAATAGGGAGGTGGACATGGTTCCGAGGTTACAGGTTGAGTTTACAGTGGTGGCACAATGGTGAGGATGTTACAATTGCGGTACAAGGTTTGTGGGTTATGTATTCGATAATGAGAAAACATCTCGGCATTTGCCATACATGTCATATGACTTGTATCTATCTAATACAAAGGTTGTAATGGCCAAGGGAAGTCCCTTGGAAATCAACAAATCCCCCAGCCAGCACCAA